ATGTGAAAACAAGTGCAAGTCTGCAATCTCTTGCCCATCTCTGGTGTTGCTGATTCTAAGTCAGATGGACCAGACATCTGACTCGACACAAGGCAGCTGCTTAGGTTCCTGTGATTAATCAGAAATAAGTCCCATTACAGCAAAACTGCTTCTCTTGCTAATAACCCATGAAACAGAAGATGCCATTGCTCATTCTTTTACAAAGCTTTCTGCTTCTTTAACATTGCTTTCTGTTCAGGCCTGGAGCTGTGGCATTCCTGAAGTGCCCTTTAATGTCAGTGCTTGCTCAGGAATTTAGGGGTTTAACAACCTTTTTTTCCAGAGAATGCAATAACTCATTGTTTTATTTTGAGTAACATTTCATGTTTTAAAAAGCATGGAGAAAGCCAGTTAAAAGACCATTAGCCCTGAAGAGCTCCTATAACTCTTTGCCAGTCCATGCTGTACAGGATGGTATTGGTAAACATCAATGGGCGGACAACAGGGAAAACACCAGGGTGAATCTGTGTGACTGGACTTGAAAGCCAGATTTTCTCTAAAATGGAGTGAATGAATGAGGTCCATTCTGGACCACAGAGGAAGCAGCACAGCTGAGCTCCATCCTGGACCACAGAGGAAGCAGCACAGCTGAGCTCCTGTCTGTGCAGGAAAATGGCTTGGAACATGAGCTGGGGAGGAGGAGGAAGTGAGAAAGAAGTGGAGGAAGTGTGCATGCAGCAGAAAGAATTTTCCTGCACACCCCCACTAGCAACTAGTCAAGAGGAGCTTATTAGTGACAGAAGGCAGCCAAAGTCAGTTCTCTCTATAGTCCTCTCCCTCTCAGCTTTGCACACAATAATTACAGGCAAGAGGCACTTGCTACACTTCCCAATAAGCCACTTATGAGGACCATACTAGGACTCCATGACCCCAGTTCCATACAAAGTTGCCAATCAAGTCTGTACAATTTTCTTCTTTTAAAAACATAAGCACAGTTTTCCATTTGCAGCTATAAAACTGTGAAGACTTAATAAAATCAAGATACAGTCACAACACATTTCTGTAGCAGAATGTTACATTTGTCTTTAGATGAAGACATTTACTTCAGTGCAAGCATTATTTTGCAGCAAGGAAATTCTACATTCTGCAAATTTTAGCAGCTCACAAATACTCTTTTACCAAGAAGATAGCCTACATAATTATCAGCAACTGACAAAGTTTAGGCCTGAATAATTAACATTTTAATAGTTAATACATTTCCTTGAGATGTTGTCTATGTGCTGCCACAAAAGAAAACCTGATGATATATTACAGTACATGAGATTTGAACTATTGTAGGGTGACAAAGCCACAAATTCTCCAGGTATACTAGATCCACTGTTAACAATTTGGAAATATAGGCAGATACTGTCATCTTGAATTGCAGCCACTGCAAAATACACTGAAGACTATATTTAAAGAGAAGAGGGTATGAACTGAAAGCTGCAAGATCATATTGTACAAAACATGGGAAATGGGTAAGAGCCTTCAAGAAATGGATTACAACTAAACTAACCAAAGAACATTCATGGAAGTATCTGATCTGTATCATAAGACTACATGGATCCTTTTACCTCTGAGATTAGACAAAATTATGCTATGTGTTTACACCATAATCTAGTGAATTGCTTGTGTAATTCAGCAGACAAAGACAATTCCCATTCTCAACCAAAGACCACAATCCAGAGCCTTGTAGTCTTAGGCTGAGAGCCAAGGAAGCAACAGGTAAATGTGGGAAAGACCAGTTCACAGAACTTAAGAACTTTGCTTTCTGCTTTTACTGTGACAAGACATTGTCAAGGCTATGACCTGCTATTCAGATTGAGCACTATGTTTACTTTTGCATAATTTATTCTTTTATTGAACTGTTACAGATTTATACTTTTTGCATTTCATTGCCATTTAATCCCAATATTTAGAATTTTCCCCTAGACTCCTGTCCCTGCCAACTAGGGATAAGTAGGGATAATACTTCATTCATTTGGTGAAGTGGACTTTAGACTACAAAAGCTTATGCCATTCTAAATGTGTTAATCTTTAAGGTGCAATGAGACTTTTTATTGTTTAAACCTGTGGTTCATGTTATGTAAAAATAAGCATAATACAAAATGTTTCATCTACATATGCAATTTCTACCTATTTACATAACATTCTTGGCTTTCCATTGCTACCCTTTCAGAGCAGAAACTATATGTATTCTAAGATTTTTTTATCCAGTGCCAGTGCATATTAAATAGTGACTACAAAGGGTTGTCTATGAAAAGTAACAGGTAATAACCAGCAACTCTATTCATTATGACTTTAGAATTGCAATTATGCTATTATGTATTTATATTACTTTCAAGTATAATTCTAAAGATAATTTTTAATTCATGGTTTCCTCTAGAAATGCATTTTACTTACAACATTACATTGAGGAAATATGAAAACAGATAAAATTGGAAGGCTGTAGTCCTGAATTCAGTGGATTATATTCAGTGTTAGTCCTATGTAGAGAACACCCATTGGAATGAACAGGATTTAAGTTAGATCAACACAGATAACAACCCAGTATATCCCACTGAGTCCCACTAGCTTTACTATACCTAAGATTGCAGATACTGGTTTGCATAATTGCCACAGGCATTCTGAATCCATGGTGGGGGGCAGCACATACTACAGGCCGTTATTGTGGCTTGTCAAGGACTTACTCCGCACTGGGTTCAGACATCATAAACTGTGCAACCACTAAGCACAGCTTAAATATTCACAGTGGCTGTCAGCACACACTGTAGCTTAAATAAACCATGGTGAGCTGCAGCAATTGTGCAAACAAGCCCATATCTTTAGATAAACAAATAGAGTTCTATCTGTAGCATACAGAATGGCTGCTTCCTCTAACTTTTAAGTTCCACAAGGTAAGTAGATCTAATGCCTTGTGGAAATTAATAGCTAGAGGAAGCAGCCATTCTGTATGCTACAGAGGGAAAACCTTGATTTTTTTAGCCTAACTCTCTAGTTTCTCTTCTGAAATGCACACACAAACTATTTAGGACATACATTGTACCATACACTTGCAAAAATGATGATGATGATTTATGGCAATTAAGCCAAATTATGTTCACTGCAGGCTTTAGGCAAAATTCCCATCTGATTTGTCAGAGGGGACAAATAACTAATAGTTAATTCATGCTTTAAAAGGGCAACTCATGGACTGCTATGGATTTGAATAAGTTCAAATTCAGTTGACCTTTTTTGGTACTTTGTACTGCTCTGAATGCCATTTTTTTGATCATTAAACAAACATTAAATAATAATAAATCCCTACTTTTTAGGGTGACCAGCAGTCTGTGGCCTGCAGGGAGGGTGTCCACAGGGGCAAAAATGGCATCTACCTCTGCAGAAGTTGTTCACCCCTCACACAGACTATTTGTTAGGGAATAATTACATGAATTTCAATAAAACAATTCCAGATCTTTCATGATTCCCATGGTTTGGGAAACTATATCCCAAGGCTGGAATTAACAGGATTTATCAATAGCTGTACTCAGTTATTGCATCCTTGGTGAATGAATAGATGGAAGAAAAGGAGAAAGCAAAGACTGAAGTTTGAGTTACCATTTAACCAACTTCCCTTTTATCAATCAACCTTTTCCACATATTGTGTTATAGATCTGACAGTGTTTCACAAGAAAATATTTAACATTCCTGTAGTACTATATAATGAGATTTTTTGAGTTGATGGGAAGTCTAAAGGTTCTCCTTAGATCTATATATTCCTGAGTAGTGGAAGCAAAACTAGTCATTGGGTTTCTTGTTTCTTTTTAAGTAGCTACTAAAGTTAGTTTGTACATTATTTTCCAGGAAATTGTGCATGTATACATTAGGAAGTCTTAGAACAGGTAGAGAAAATCCTGCATGTGAGTTTTATCTTCTGTTCCTCTTTTCCTTAGCTTAATTTGATTGAATTAAATGACCTGCAGCAACAGCAGCAGCAAAAGACAAAAATGCTACCTGACTTAAGTGTGTTCCAAAGAGGAAGTTTACAACATCTGATGCTTTTTAATTGAGAAAAGAGGCAGGTAAGAGAGCGATCCTGTGGTCCTGGGGGAATGTTCTAGGGAGCATAGGATTCTTCAAAATTATCTCACTAACTCCATAGATACTCCTATGACCTCAGTGGAGAGACTGGAATTTCTTTCCCAGTCCCTTCAAGGTGTTGCAGAAGACACCTCTGAGGACTGGTGAGTGGGGAGGGGAGAGGCCAGAATACGACATTTCCTATGACCTCTCCAGACCCCATTTTGCTCCGAGCAGCACAACTAGTCTAGGTGAGCTCAGAAGCCCATCTAGAGGGAAATGTACCAGCCTGTCATTCCTCTTACCTTACTGGCAGCAGTCTGACAGGGCCCTGTATACTTGGACGTCTCCAAGGTCAGAGGGCTTTCATCTAGAAAGCATGCAACCCATAGGACTGTGCCCTAAAGAGATGGGCATGATAGAAGTATATAAAAGCATCCATGGTATAGAGCAGCGGTTCTCAACCTGGGGTGCCCACAACCCCGGGGTGCAAGAAGGCATGGGGAGGCAACAAAGAGAAAAGCTGTGTTGTGATTCACCAAAAACTATTCCACTGATAAAATTATTTATTACTGTTTTGTTTGCATTTGGATTCAGTTCTCTTTTGTTAATCAAGGCAAAATCTAGGAATCAGCTGAATCCACAGGCAAACTTTCAGATTGCAATCAGCAAGAAATTTCTACATTTTGACCAAATCATGAATGAGGAGGAGCTAAGAAGTCATTGAATTTTATGTTCATAGTTAGGATTGATTTTTCTGTTTACATTTTTCCCTAATTGCTCAATTTATATTTGAATTTTACACACTGAGTTAAAAGCTTATTTTGTTGCGTTCAGTTTGTTCACCCACAGTACTGTATGTGGTTCAATTTGTGATTCAAGAATTAGAAATGTGACTTCTTAATCTTCAAATGTGATATTGCATTTGTAGGGGGTGTGAACATAAATCAAATATTTTCTAGGAGTGTGGCGCATACAAAAGGTTGGGAACTACTGGTACGGAGAAAGAGAGATAGATAGATGTATGCTTTCTTCTATCATGCTCCCAGAACCTGGTGAGAGATGTAGGACAAACAGAAAGAAATATTTCTTCACAATGCTTCTTCCAGTTATGGAATTTGTTGCCACAAGATGTGACAATGGCCAACAGCTTAGCTGGATTAGAGAAAGGTTTGGGGCATTAGGGTATTGATGGCTGCTAGTCATGATGGCAGAGCTCCTTCTAGAGAGACACCATGCCTCTGGATACCAGTTGTGTGTGTGTGTGTGCACGGGGGGAATTGTGGTAGGGGGCTGGCTTCTTATGGGTTGGCCCCTATGGAAAATAGCATACTGGCCCAATCCAGCAGCAGGACTTTTTTGATGTTTTTAACAGGAGAGAGAGCAAAAATAAAGATGTTTTCTGTGACTATTCCACTGCATTATTCTCTTCTTAAATTCTTTACTCAGAGTCTGAACTGAACTATAAACATATATGCCTGGCTATTGAAGAATTAATAATTAATATAGGAAAAATATTTTTCTTAGGGATGTCATGGAAGTAAAATCGTTTTGACCCATGATAAAGTGGCCATCTGTGCTATAGTGATTGGCATCTCTGGGTCTAAGTTGTATATTATAACTAATAAGGTACAAACCAGCTCACAGTCATTATCCCCTGAATGATGGAAGCTTCAATTTGTTCACATCTATTTATATGGCAAAGTTACTTCATCTCCACCAGACCCAGCCTTAATACATGCCCAGTGGCAGGCTGTGTATAAATACCAGTGTGAATTTTCATCCATTGACTTCAAAGAGGGCTAATGACTTCTTTCCATGAAAATACAAGTTAGGTAAATTATTCAATTTTTCCTAATTACAGACTGTCATTGCCATTTACATAATAACAGCAACAGACTGCACAGTTACCTGCATTCATATCCCATTAAAATTAAATAGTTCTTTCCAAACAAGAGAAGGTTTCCAGCACTTTGTATAGAAGAGGGGATGTTTACAGGTGCAGTTTGCCATTAAAATGCCGGGGAAATATCACCTGTAGAAATTTCCCTGGTGAAGCTCTGTTCTTCTTTCTGTGGGGTCATTGTGATTGAGGAGTGGGTAGCCGTGCTGCAGGCTACAAGAGCCACTGCTCTTACATGACTTTCTGGTTGGAAGAAAAATCTCTCTTTCAACAGAAGCACATGACCTGTGCATCATTTTGTGAAGGAATTTTTTTTTCCCTCCCGAAGAAGAGGAGAAGAAAGATGGTGGGCATTTCCTCACCCTATTACAAAGTGTCTGACTCCAAATGAAAGAAATGGATTTGTCCTGGCACACACAGAAACCTTAATTCGGCTACTGAAATGTTATTTCTTGAGCAATATTTCAAACTCATGAGAGGTCACATGAATAGAGCGAGTGATGGGGCAATTAAAAAAAAAAGATTCCCTCCTCTGTGTAAATGGGAGCATTTCAACCATACAGCAAAACAGCTCTCCCATAGCTTTGACAGCTTTGCTCCAAAGTCAGCCTCCTCAGAACTTAGAACCCCTGTTTCTAAGCACAACACATGATTTCCGGTAACCAATTGCAAACAAGAGTTCTCTGAGGTAAATATTGTGTGAGCTTTTTTTTAAAAAAAAATTCCCATAACCAAAAAAGAGCAGTTAAATATTTGCACAGTTCCAAGTGTTTTGTCAAATCTGCTGGCTAAACTTAAGGTAAATTGTAAGGGGGAAAGGACCAAGGAAACCACATACATGCTTTGCTGCAACAGTCTTCAGGTAAGGCTTATTGGCAAAGACATCTTTTTGTTTTCAAAGGGCACTCCACCTAATTTTCTTGCAATGCATAGATTTGTGAAGAAACAATCATAAATGGCTTTCAAAAACAGTACATATGTCCTGGTCACTTTCCAGACTTGTCTCAGTAAGGCTGACTTCAGCAGATGGCTCTGAGGCTGGCTCAGCGGGTGGTGCCGATGCTTGGTCTCCCTCTTTCTCTTCCTTCTCTTCTTTAAGTTCTAGTGGTATGCCGTCTTGCGACTGGTCATCGACACAGTCCCTTTTGGTCAACTGGTGAACAGATACTTTGATTGCAATCTTGAGTGGTGGCTCGTGCAGAGAAGATGCATCTGAGTCAGCAGTGAGAGAACTGTTCCGCTTTAGGGAATTGGGGATCATGTACATCTCTTCCGTATCGGTGGTCTCCTGTCCTTCTGGTGACTGCCTTACAAAGTTCTGACCTTGCTCCTCTAGTCCCACCACTTCCATGATTTCTTCCATTATAGTTCTGCAGTTCATAATGAGTGGCGGCAGTGGGACACTCTTAGCCAGCTCTTCAATATAGCGGGCAAACTCCATTGTCTTGAACTGCGTTACTTTGGCAAGCTCAAGAGTTTTTGCAGATGTAATGATTGGGATGCGTTTAGCAATCTCAAAAGCTTTTTGCAGTTTTTCTGCTCCTTCTGTCCGAAAGAATTCATTAATAGCTTTTTCTGTCTTTTTCAGGTGACTGCTCATCATACATAGCCTGGTGATGTTTAAGATCAAAACAATGGTAAATGCTACAAGGCATACAATCATATAGTAGATCCCCATATCTCCAGAGGTAAAGACAACTCTCAACGTCACTGTATTATTCACTTGGCCATAGATATTAGAAGCAACACATGTGTATTTTCCTCGATCCTCAAATGACACACTAGTAATATTAAGTTGTCCATTGTCAAGAATCCATTTTCCTCCTGGAAGGAAAACAGAGATGATCAGTAGAATATATGTGCTATGATGAAATGATAGTGGAAAATTTATTATCGCAGCCATGCAGTGGAGAGCCGGCTGTGTAGCTGGGGATCAGAGTAGATGGCCTGGAAGACCCCTTCTGACTTGCTCTTTCTGTTTCTGTGCAGGCTTTTTCAGGGGGCAAAATGCCCAATGTGTTGTTATCTGCATAGAAATCAGAGCTTTTCTGATTAGCAATAATCTGTATTTTGGAATATCATCAGCTATATAAGCATTTAAAAACCAAGTCAGGTATTTGAATAGACCTGGGCATTAACTAGATCTAGCTAATATTCCAGACTGCTCCCTACAGGGCAGCAGTGGATGACTTGCCAAATATTCCTTGGTTCTAACACAGATTGTATTATTGGGGAAAACATCCTACAAGGCATTCCGGCTGATTAAATTGTGTACTCTGCTGGTAATTCTAAACTCATCTGACCTGCAGTTTAAACACCAATATTTTGTGCAAGTAAATAGAATTTAAGTGGTTTGTAAGCAAGCTGGAAAATGATCCAATCTTCTAAATAATGGATGTGTGGGGAAAGGGTCTTGGCTGCAATTTAGCACAGAGTTAGGGAGACTAATGCCCAATGAAATCAATAGGCTCATGTGCACTGAAACACCAATTCAGATTTTCAAAGCATTTTTGATTTGTTATGTAAGGACTGAGAGCAGAAAAAGAATGAGGAAGTGAGTGGGGGGAGCTGTTTAAGAATTTAGGAAGCTGTCTTAAGCCAGGCCAGACTATATTTTTCCCTTTAGTCTAACTGTCCACTTGGACTGGCAACAGCCCAGTGGCAGAAATCTTTCTCCACATTACTGCTTAGTTCTTTTAGCAACCATGGAAGCTGCCATGTGCCAAGTCAAATAATTAGTCCATCCATCCAGTATATTGGCTGGCAGCGCCTTTCTGGGGGTCAAACTGCACTAGGCATTCTTACTGACCTTGTAATATCTGTCTTGCTGGTATGACACATGACACCCACCCACCCCTCCTTGGTCTTTCTGCCATTATACCCTGGATTCCTTCAGACCAGTCATACCACAAGTAGTTTAGCTGTTGCCATTTCTCCTCTGGTGTATATATCTCAGGGTGTGCTGTCCAGCACTTGCAAATGCACTGCTGCACCCCCCTCTCCTCCCTGTCCTTTGGAAAAATAACGTTTGTGGTGGCTTTTCAAGCACTCCTGCTTGTCTCCTTTGTCCTTTTGCTCAGGAAGCAACTAGCTGAAATGCATGCTAGTTCAGAAATAGGTCAGGTTACCTTCAGTAGCCTGACCCACAAGTAAAGAATATTGACTTCAGTGAGGCTGAAGTGGGAAAGTCTGCATGGAAAGGGGCTTCACTTCCTCGTTTGCTATGGGATGGAGGGGAATGGCTTCACCCCACAGAGGCTGGGAGGCCAGGAGCAGGCAGCCCCACACCTTCTCATTCTCCATGACTTTTTGTGAGGGGGCAGGAGAGCTGTCAATTACCTCCCCCCCCCTTTAAAAAAATCCCATTCTTTTCTCATTCACTTAAGTATTTGAGCTAATAAAAACAGAAAGTGTATCTGAAAAGTCCATTTCTTCACACACAACCCCTTTCCAGCCCCTCCGACTTCTGCTGTTGCATGTGTATGGAAAGGAGCCATGCTTATATGTTCAGCTACATTGCATTTGTTAGCGTGTGCCTCAACTGTGATACACGTATTTTGCATAAATACTGGGCCACTACTAGGCCCCCATAAGTGGAAGGTCCTCTCCTACAGATCTCCTGTAGGAGCCCTTCCTAGTCATAGCTGGAGACTTCTGGGTTCAACTGCATACAAAGCAGGTGCTCTACCACTATCCTCTCCCAAATCCCTTAAAGCCTGAAATCCCAACATAAAAGCCTGTCTTAGGGGACATAGATGGGGACAGAAATTGGGTGTGGAGTGTGAGCAGGGGTGGCAGAGGCTGCCATGCTGCTGGGTGCCGGCAGTGGCCAAGTCTCCTTCCCATCCTACAAAGAGGTGCTTTGCTCATGCAGTCTTGCTGGGAATTGCATGTCTCCTGAAGAGCAGTGCGCTAAGGCCCCCAGCAGTATTATTCAGACTACAGCAGAATGACTTAAGCACAAAAGGCTGTGCTGCATTGCCTCCCACGCTGCTTCTGAAATTCCATTTTCCACAGTTCAGCTTGTTCCTTGCTTTGCCTTTAGACCAAAAATGTGTAAACACATTTCTGCCACACACATTTGGCTGCCCCAGAAGCAAGGATGGAAAGTAGTGTGCCCTTCTAGCTGCTTCTGGAAAGATGCCTCTGGAAAGCCCAAATGAGCACATGAGGTCAAGTAGTTCTCTCCCACTGCCATTTGCTATTGGCTGGGTTTCAGTGGCAGATTGCTTCCAAACAGGGAAATTTTACCTAGTTATCATGCCGAATTGCCAATGAGAGACCATCCTTCATAAGGTATACCTAGTTGCCCTTTAAAGGTTTGTAAGCTAGAAACAATCATTACATCTTGTGGCTGTGAGTTCCATAAATTAACTGTGTGGTTGTAAAGAAGAATTTCTTTCATCTTGAGTTTCTAGCCAATCAGTTTTGCTAGATGACTTGGAGTTCTAATATTATGAGTAAGAAAAATGTCTGTCTAGCCACTTTCCAAATTTCTATGGCCTCTCCACTTTTGTTACCTTTTTGCTAAATTAAAGGCATAATCTCATGTATGAATAGACAGGTAAAAAGGTGTAAAGCTCCCAACAAGTTGAGAGTTTATAGGCACTTTTATTTTTGGTCTATGTATGCCTAGGGCTGCAAACTAAGAACCTTTAGATATTGTAGCTTTCCCTTGTAGGGGAGCTGCTGTAACCCTGGCCCCAATCATTCCAGTTGATCTTTCCCAACTCTACAGTAACCTTGAAGACCACACTACAGAGGATGTTATACATATGCTGCTGGTTATTATTAATAAGAAAACTGCACAAGTTGATGTCACACAGGCATTTTTAACTGCAAATAGCGGCTGCTCTGGTGCGGGTCGACATGCCAACTGGCACCAATGGTACCTCAAGATGCGCTGGGCAAAACAGGAGCAAAAGCAGTGACCAAGACTCAGCTTGGCAGGGTTTTGAGGTAAGGCTGCTGAATTCTCTCTCCCTGACCTGCTCATTTTCTGAACATGCTGAAAATTCCAAAGAAGCAAGGGGTTTGTCTCTTCTGCTCAGATCCCCCTTTCTTGCTGTTCCCTGTAATATCTAGAGAAGTCAGAGGAAAGAATCTTTGTGATAGGCAGAGGTTTTTACTGGAGGAAAATGACGTGTCAAGTAGAGCTGTGGATCTCTGGATAAATACACACAAATTAATGTATATTTCCTTGTGATCCAAGGTAAAACATAATGCCATGATTGCAGCACGTCATGTATGCCACACACACATGCCACTTCTACTTAACGTTAGTCCTGTAATTACATATCATGAATGAAAAGTCTTTCAGAATATACCTTTGTTCCCATCTTCCTTCACCAAATGGCCATTGGAGTTGTACCACTTGTACTCTGGTCCTGGATGGCCTTCAATGTTGCAATCAATCAAGGCACTGTAACCTTCTTTGACTATAATGTGATCGATTCTGGAGATTACCACAGGCACAGATCCTAAGAGCGTGTTTGTGTGGTTTAAAGTGCTATCAGTAACATCTTCAGCAGTCATCAAAGCTGCTAGCAAGATGACAAGGCATATGGTAGTCCAATAATGCAAAAGGAAGGGACGGTTGAACATGTTCATCTGTCTTTGGTATACTGCTAAGCGAAGTCAGTGTTGGACCAGGAACTGTGTACTGTACAGTCCTGAAGAAGCCAGCAAAAGTATTAACACTGTTCCATGAAATGTCAAAAGCCAAGTAAATAAAACCCTGCAAAATATAACAGGTTAAATCAGCAAGAAGGTGTTGACTTAGCAATGCTTATAGCACCAATAATAAGTCTCAAAAGTCATCATTTCAGTGCTTAGCTCAATGTTAATAATATCACAGTTCTGCAAAACACACATTTTTATGGTCATTGAGTTCTAATTTTATAACAGAAAATACTGTTTTGTACAAATTAATCAGGGGACTCATTTAAATTTAATAAAGAAAATACAGTGAATGAAATAATCCTCACTTCCCATTAAAATATACATGGGAAAAGAAAGATACCCCCATTACTGTTGACATTGCTGGTTCAGTTCAAAACCATCATTCCAGTGAAATCAATAGAAAAGCATATAGGAGTAAGGATGATTAGTGTAAAAGCAATTGAGGTCCTTAGCTAATCCAGTTCTATCAAAATGCTTAAGCACATTTAGCAGAGGCTTCTAGATGGAGGGATTAAAAATGCATCTACAGACATAATATTTGCATACATGGTAGCATGTTCCTAATGGCATAGGTAAAATCCACGAACACATGTTAATCTCCTATAACCTTTGAGCAGTCTATTACCTAGCAAAAACGCTTTCCCCTGGAGGTGCAGTTATGCCTATTAACTCATAAAATATGAAATACAGTTCAGTATCTGCTCCATTAAATAAATGTAATGTGGCTGATTTCATTAACTCAGTAACAAAGTGGTTAATTGTTACACAGTCTTAAGCCATGGTCTTAGTGGACCATTATTCGTAATGTGTTCAGAACTGTCCTATTATTTGCTCAAAAAGAAAGGTAACTGACATGTTGGGCTTCATTAAAAAGGACCACTGAATCTCAACATGTATGTAAAGGGGAAGAGGACTTTTGTACATACAGAAGATCCCAGGTTCAATCTTTTCCATTACCAGGTAAAGGGATTTGGATCTCTGGTAGCAGGGCTGTACTGAGCTAGAAAAACCAGTGGCCTGCTTCCTAAGTGTATAATGGCACTTCTGGGTTATTGTTGCTAAGCATTTAGAGATGGACTGAGGCTATATATGCATGTCTGTTCAGAAGGAATTCTCAATTAGTTCAGCTCCCAGGTATGTATACATAGGATTGAAGCCTATAAAACATAACAATGTGTTTTCCATATGACTTACAGCTTTAGACATGACACTGATTGTTTTCTGCTTGAATCTAAACAGAAAAATTATAAAGTTTATATAGCAGCAGAAAAAAAATATATTTTCCAGGTGAAAAAATGAACGAACCACTGGAATTACATGTAAATATTGTATGTGCACGTATCTGAAGCCAATAGATTTTGACTTTGGAAAAAATTGCAGACATCAGAGTTTCAACACTTGCATTAGCAGGGTTGAAAAGTTCACTGGAAATTTGCAGGCTCATGGGTGTGAATTGTCCGGTTGAAGGTCAGGCAGTGGGGGACCAGAAAGGGAAATCAGTAAGTCAGTTCATTCAGGCTAGATGTGAATTGTCTAGCTGTTGGCAGTTTGTACATAAACATGCAGTAGTCCCTGTCTTTGAACAGTTTACAGCTGAACAACAATTTACATCCGCTGAGTATTTCTTTTATTGTTCTGTTTTTCCATTGTGTGTTTAATTGTTTTGCTTTCATGTTATATTTTAGCTATGATGTTGTTTTTAATCCATGTTATTATTTTGAGCCGACTTCAGTGCCATTGTTAGCAAATTACCTAGGATATATTGTTCTAGCCTGTTCACAGTACTATACCAATATTAAATTCACCAAACACAAAATATGTTCACTCAAACATAACTTTTTTCTCTCTCTCTTCACATCATGGCTTCCCAAAGCCCACCAAACAAACACCTTTCCGCAAGCAGAATTGGAATACAACTGGGAAAATATCACATGCTATGTAATTCTTTGCACATCTATTCAGAAGAAAGTCCCACTATGCTCAGTGGAACTTGTTCTCCATCCAGAAAGTATGGGTGACATTGCAACTTTACAGTGCAATGCTATACAAGTTACCTTAGGCGTTAAGTCCTATTCTTTTTATTGATACTTCCTCCAAGCATGTCTAGGATTTACCTGAGAGTAAAGCCTTGTTGAAGTTAATGAGACTTCTTGACAAAGGACTGTACAGTTAGGTAGGTAAAGCTATCTCACTTCCAGTTCCAGTATTTTCTTTTGTTTGTTTCATTTGGGGATTTCCCCTTGGACACAACAGCTTGTGATTCAAAACTGATATATATATATATATATATATAAAAAATAAATACAATGTCCTGGGGAAATCTGTGCATCATTGGAAAAATAGCAAGCATGTTCAAAGTGAGGGTAAATATAAAGAGGTACAGATCATGTTATGACTTCCCCTCCAGCAGTTGATGCTGCAATCTTATTTTCAAACAATTTTAGTTCTGTGATGGTTGTAACTGAAAGCACACTAGACCCACAGCCAAATATGCTAACCTTAAAGGCACAGGATTATGCTGTGACTGAGTGGTGGGGAAGGCATGTTCCCTGGGATCAGATCACACCAAGGGGCAGGCCTCTCCTCTGGAAGCCCCTCCACCCCAATCCTGGCTGCCGGACCCCATTGGATTCCTTTCTCTGTGTGCTTCCCTTTTCATGCTAGAAAAGGGCTGCCACTACTTCATCATTCTGCATTTTAAAAGTCCATATGGTGGGCTATAAAAATAATTAAGAGTAGGGAAAATATAACATAAAAGTAAACCTGGCAAATTCAGATGGGAGTAGTTGGTCCTGCAAATACCCCCCACCCCAGTCCTAAGCTGCTGCTGCTATTATATTTATTTATTTCCCACCTGTCTTCCTTTTGCAAGGAACTCAAGATGGCTTACAGGGGTTTCCTCCTTGACACTTTATCCTCACAGCAGCACTGCAAAGTAGGTTAGGCTGAGAGTACATTACTGGCCCAAAGTCATCCATTGAGCATCATGGGTGAGTGGAGACTAAAATCCAATTCTACTGAGTCCCATTCTAACACTCTAACCACTATACAATACTGTCTTGTTAAATCAATCATTTATAAAAGTTCAGCGCTTGGAATGTTATATTTTTGTGTGGGGATTAGGAAGCATGAGTGAGTTCTACATTAGCAAAACTGAATATTTTGTTTTATGTCTTGAATCAGCTATAAGGCTCAAGTAAAGGAAGAAGACAAAGTAGCATTGTTCAGTAAAGCATTTTTAGTGAATGAAAATGGTTTAATGGGTTTGTGCATTAAAATTTATCTGCATGCCTTTTAAAGGATATTGCTCTGCTACAGAAATCTGCTGAACAAAGACAACACTGTGCAATGTAGGTGAGTGTGTTGCTTTTCCAAGTTCTTTTGATTTTATGTCTTACTTTTAAGTTTGCTTAGCTCCTTGCTTGGTTGATTGCCTTCATCCTTCTGCAAGGTTTGTGACTACTACCATTACATAAATCGTCTGGCTTCATTTAGTAGTGCTGTTTATTTAGAAGGGGAGGCAAGCCATAGTCTGCAGTTTGGTACACAAAGCTCTTATTCCAGAAGCAGCTGTATCTCTTTACTAGATATTTGCTTAACCCATTACAAGACTACCTCAGGCTATGATTTGGAATATGGGTGCTGTTTCAGAGCCCTGGCATGTGCCCACTTACTCTCTCACACAGAAACACATTAGATAGTCAAACCCTGCATATTGTAAGATACAAAGGAAAGACGTGCAAAATTGGGCCTCTCAGCTGGAATGTTTCTTCCCTGCCATTTGCCTATTTTATTTTATTTTATTTTATTTTATTTTATTTTATTTTACATGTTCATGTTTGTTTCCATTGCTTAATTTCTAGAAAGAATCTGCAAGGGTTCAGGGCTCTGTTTGGGGAAGACACTCTGATCTAGAACTCTTTTCCCCTAATCCCTGTTACACAAGGATACTTTGTACTTACAGAATGCAGTACTTACAAAAACAACCTGTGCCAGCTTAGAAGCTTTTTTGTCCTTTCTTACTTAACATGCTCTTCTATTTCAGCTTTATACAAAGCAACAACAGTGAGAAACCCACAAATTTTCCAGTGTGCAGTATGAATCAAGCATTAGTCAGAGATGCATGAATAAGAAAATCAAATTCTGTATGATTGCCCTCCTTGCTTTCTTTTCTAAAAGGATCAAAGGATGGGGTGAACAGGAACTGTTTAGCCAAGCTCAGGAGCCATGGAACATGGGGGGTGGGGTTTGGCTTACACTGCAAACTCATTATCAGGAGGAAAACTGTTGGGTTAAAATAATACAGATTGTATTCATTCATTTTACATTTAAATCCCACTGTATATCCCACTTTCCTCTTGCAACAAAGTAGTTCACATGGCCATTTTATCTTCATAACAACCCTGCAAGCTGAATTAGATTGAGCATCAGTGCCTGGCACCCAGTGGGCTCCATGGAGAAGCACAGACTAGATCCTGGGTCTCCCAAGTTCACCACAACACTGCAGTGGCTGTCAAATTAATGAAGGTCATGCTTGGGGAAGTTGATGCAGTTATTTCTGTATATTTATGTTTCTATATGGTATGTTTAGATCTTGAAAGAAATATTCATTAGAAATCATGTCCCCCCCCCCCCATAAGCCTATTGCCCCATTTACTAGGGAGCAGAGGTGGCAGCAAACATGCTTTGTGTTAGGGCCCTTGTTAAGCCCTTGACATGGCCCCAGGCACATCCCAAGTGCTGGGAATTAGACATGTACCCAGAGCCAGTTCCTGCAACCCCAGCTGAGATTCTTCCCACCCCATTTATGCCTCGATCAGGATCTGCGTGGTGGAGCCTGGCTCAGTCACAGTTTGCAGGAATCAGCTTCTTTAGGCCGTGTTCAAGTTCCTTTCTTTGCGTGGAGAATGCTTTTCTTTTCCAAAGCCAGTGGTGCAGTTGATGTCAAGTGAAGGCCGGGGCTTCTTGACATCATCTAGTCTGCTGGCTTGACATGGGAGGTAATCCAACCCCTAAATGAGAGTGGTGGCCTCGCAACAACCTTTACTGCAATTT